TTTTTTTTTTTTTTAATCAGCATAACCTGGCCTCACCCTCCATGCTAAACTTTTAGCTTCTCCCCTCTACCAAATGCAGCACTCAAAGACAGTATCATCCCCTCCAATACCCACCTTAGCTGACGTGTTCTCACTGCTTAGACGAAACCCGACCCCTTAGGTTGCCGCAGTAGCACCCCTCGGTTTGCCACTGGATTGTCTTCCTTCCTCGACAGATCCCCAGATCTCTCTACCAGGACTCAAGCTCCTGCTGCCATAGGTCATAGGGCTATATCCCAGCACCGGCCAGCATCGTTCTGGCGTCGGCAAACCGAGAGCACAAAACACCAACACTTGGTAAGACATCAGATAGGATTCTACCACCTGTAAGATCTTACATTGGATATGAGAAGAAAACCAAATGTCGACTGGAATGTAAGTCGACCAGATAAGCATGACATTACCCCTTTTTTTATGATGATGACGATGATGATAATGATGATGATGATGATGTGCTACTCTTATCCTGAATCTTTAAAGACAGATGTCTGTCTCCCAGTCACAATCGTAGCGTTGTTACTTAGAAAAATTGGAAAAGAGGCTCTTCTCCCTCCCCCCTTCTTACCAACCTGTCCAAAAGCTGCCTCCACCGAAATGTTTAACCCATCTCGACCCCAACTTGGGACAGACCCACAATCCCCTCCCCTATCCCTTCAAGGCATACAATTTTCTCCCAAAGTATGGCTCTACTAAGTAGTTCTCACCCTTTACCCTAATCTGGCCCCGTTGGGATGAGTATCCCTACCCCAACCCCAGACTAGGGCAACCCCTAACTCTGCCTGCGCTCCCTCCAGGACGACACTTCCCAGCTTGAGTCGCCCTTACAGAGTGGAGCTCTCCCTTACTACCACGATCCTCCAATCATCAGAAAAAGCATAGAAGCACAGAGAGGAGAACTAATAATTATTAATAAAGAAAATAATGAAGTGGAAGAATTGACAGTGGTTGTGAAACTTAGAAGACCATAGTGGCTGTGTTTTTAAGTGTTTAATACCGAATCTAGATAGATACGAATTAGGATTTAGTTATGTAGGTATCACAGCATGGAGATCATGCCTTCAAGAATGTAAAGATAAGAAAAGAAAGAGTTCAAGATAAAGAGAGTTTGTGAGATTAATTACGAGATTAATTACGAATTCAATTACAAATTTAGTAGGAACGTAGTTGGTTGAAGAGAAGGTCCTTCATTAGGTTATTGATTAGATGATCCAAGTTATTGAGGATGATTGTGAGATTGATTGAATTTGATGAGATTGATGATTTGGATGACTGTGCTACTATACTAGTGCCTAATTGACAAATGCCAATAGGCAAATATAGAAAAGATAGGGAAAATAGAGAAAAGCGCGAGTGACTCACCACATGGAAGCACTAAACACACCCTCCGCACCTTGTACCTTACCACCCCTCTTCATACTTTAAAGTTTAAACCCTCCCCCATCCTTCTCCCCCTCGCCTACCGTTCTCCCAACTCTGACCTCACCCGCACCCCTCTCCCCTCCCTTTCCTCCCAACCTAGCCCCACTTCTCCCGACACCTCCCCCAAAATGAGAGAAGTGAACAACAGAAGCACAACGAAGTTCAAGAGAGAATTGAGAGTAGGAATAGGGATATGAGATGGGCACGAGCGCAGGGAAAAAGGGAGATGAAAGGGGAGAGAAGGAAAGAAGGAGGAGAGAGAAAGATAAATGAAAAGGAATTGAGAAAAGGAGAAAACAAGAGAAGAAATATGGTATTATCCTTCCAAAGGGTGATGAAATGAGATGATGATGATGACCTGCTCGGTGATGATGATGATGATGTTCTTCCCGTTGAAGATGCCGTGTGTCCTGCTCTAATGTCTCAACTTATCCTCCCGTCCTCCATGTGATTCTGGACAATTGAGAGCTTCTCCTGTGTGATCCGAACACCAAGCGCCAAAACACCATGCTAACGCCCCTCCAGGTTATGCAATGGTTCGTCCTCCCTCACATTTGCTGGTTTGTTCCAGCCTCCCGTTGAAGATGACGTGTTTCCTCCTCTAATATCACGACTTATCCTCCCGTCCTCCATGTAATCGAGAGCTTCTCCCGTGTGATTTGGACACCAAGCACCATTATGATAACACCATGCTAACGCCCCTCCAGATTATGCAAGGGTTCGTCCTCCGTCACATTTGCTGGCACGTTCCCATCCCTGTGCCAGAAAGGGGAATAGCGCCTGCAACGGTAGATTCATTCGATTTTGCTCATCCGTTCGATGGAAGTATGATGATTTGTGTAACCCGCCGTACGTCGTACGGGGCTGCGCTCGTATGGCCATACGGACGGTCGTACAGCCGTATGAACGGTCCCGTACATAATGACGAACCCCACCCGAAAAAAAACGAAAAAAAAAACAAAGAAATATGGGAATGCAGTGTAGAGTTTTTCGTGCTCTAGACCCCCATTTTTTTCTCTTTTTTTTGCCTTTATATTATAAAAAATAAAAATAATCACAACCAAAAAAAAAAAAAAATAAAGAAATAAAAATTGATTGACTGATTGATTGATTGATTGATTGATTGATTGATTGATTGATTGATTGATTGGTTGGTTGGTTGATTGATTGATTGATTTTCGATTGATTGATTGATTTTCGATTGACTGATTGATTGATTGATTAAATGCTTGAGTGGTTGATTGATTAAATGCTTAAGTGGTTGATTGATTGATTAAAAAAAAAAAAGAACTCGTAGATAGGCACGCAGCTATACTAAAGCGCGCGCTCCCTCTATCTCTTTGTTCGTCTCTCAGCACGCGCGTGCGCGAGCGAGCGAGCGAGAGAGAGAGAGAGAGAGAGAGAGAGAGAGAGAGAGAGAGAGAAGAGCATGGGTGTCTATGTGCTTGTGTGTGTGGGTGTGCGTGTGCGTGTGTGTGTGTGTGTGTGTGTGTGTGTGTGTGTGTGTGTGTGTGCGCGCGTGTGCGTGTGTGTGTGGGTGTGTGGGTGGGTGGGTGGGTGGGTGGGGGGTGGGCGACCCTCCCCCAATTAACCAATCAATCAATCAATCAATCAATCGATCAGTCAATCAATCAGTCAATCAATCAATCAAAAAAATGAAGGTACGCGGTATCATTTTTTTAATTTTATTTTTTTGCTTTAATCAATCAATCAATCAATCAATCAATCAATCAACCAATCAATCAATCAATCAATCAATCAATCAATCAATCAATCAATCAATCAATCAATCAATCAATCCATCCATCAATCAATCAATCATCAATCAATCAATCAATCATCAATCAATCAATCAATCATTCAATCAATCAATCAATCATCGATCAATCAATCAATCAATCAATCAATCAATCAATCAATCAATCAATCAATCAATCATTCAATCAATCTTTTTTTTTTCTTTTTCC